AGTAGCTGGAATTACAGGCATGTGCTACCACACCCGGCTGATTTTTTGATTTATTGTAGAGATGTGGTCTTGCTGCCCAGGCGGGTCTTGAACCCGCGGGCTCAGGCAATCCACTCACCTCAGCCTCCCAAAGGTGCAGGATTACAGGCTGAGTCACCGAACCTGGCTATATTTGTGGTTTTTAAAAATTATTTAGTAAGTCTTTGAGCAGAAAATTTGATAGGTAGTCTAAATATTTCAAAGATATATGATGTTCGTGGTAGCCATTCTTAGTGGTATATATAGTCTAAATATCACATTTTCAACAAAAATAGCTTTTTTTTTCTTTATTCAAATGTCTTTTCTCTAGCCTTCCAGCATTGGATCCATGGCTCTGACCGAAAGTGCACTGTCCCAGCATGGTTTGTCAAAAGTTGTGTACAGTGGACCTCATCCTCAAAGAGAGATGCTGACAGCACAGAATAGGTATACTGTGGAGACATAACTTATCTTACCACATTGATTAAAAAGGTTATTTCAACAGATTTTAAAATAATGTTGAATGAGTTAGGTGGGAGACAGAAATGTCCTCCTCAGTGTTGTCATCAAAGCACGACTTGCAGACTCAGAGATGGGGGAGTGAAGAAGCTCTTTTAATCCCCTTCTTGAAAGAATGGGTGCCTCTCAGGTGAGCAGGCACACCGAGGCAGTCGCAGCCGGCGTTTTTATGCCTCTAAAGCACAAGTCCCTCCCCAGGTTCCCCATTGGCTGAGTATTTCAGTGGTTATATCACTTTCCCGGATGTTGCCTAAGCAGTAATTTTGTACAAATAAGCAGTTTCTACACAAATAAGGGAAAATACATGTTTTTGAATTCTGGCTGGGTTTCAATTCCCACCAAAGGAAGCCTGCCAAAAGAGAAAGCCTGCTAAGAAAGGAGGAAGAACCAGGAAGTGAAGTAACAAATTGCCAGTTTGAAAATGAATCACCATTTTGAAAATGAATCACCATTTTGTTTCTTACAAGTTATATGTAAGAATTTATATGAATATTGAGTCATCTTATATAAGATAAAAACATCTAGATTTGTCACTGTATTTTGCTTCAGATATCAGTTGTAAGGTTGAATTTTTTTTTAATTAGTTGGGATCTCACTCTGTCACCCAGACTGGAGTTCAGACCACAGCCTCAACCTGCCGGGCTCAGGCAATCCTTCCACCACAGCCTTCCAAGTAGCTGGAACTACAGTCATGCACCACCACGCCTGGCTAATTTTTTGATTTATTATAAAGGACGAGGCCTTGTCTTGTTATGTTGCCCAGCCAGGTCTCAAACTCCTGGGTTCAGGCAAGTCTCGCCTTGGCCTTCCAAAGGGCTGGGATTATAGGTGTGAGCCACCAGACCCAGCCTGAGTTGAATTTTTAAGATAGGTTTCATATGACTGCTGCTTGAAAGTCTTTTCTTTTTTAAAAATTTTTATTTTAGTTTTTTCTTAATTGTGTGTCTACACTGTACAGATCTGTTCTGTAGCAGATTATCTTTCCCCTCTCATGCCCCATCTCCTATTACGGTTGACTTAGAATTTGAAAGATTTGTTAATATTCTTTTGGTTTGTCTTTAGGTTTGAAGTGTTGACATTCCTTTTGCTGTGTTACAATGCTGCCTTAACCTATATGCCCAGTGTTTCTCTTCAATCACTGTGTCAAATTTGTTCAAGGTAAATTAAACTTGAAACGTTTCTTTTTTTAAAATTTTTAACTTTAAAGATGGGAACAATTCAGAGTTAGGTATACAAATGTTCATTATGTAGGTACCCTTGTTGATTTGAAATGCTTCTAATAAAGTATAAGTCTAGGATTGCTAGTTTGTTACATACCTGTTATTTTTGTTTTGTATAATCATTTGTTTAAAACTTTAAATTAAGTTAATATACAACACATAGAAAGTTCCCTATAAATGATAATCACTAAAAAATTATAAAGACTGTAAAGCTGAATAACATTTCAATGGAATGTTTAACCAGAAAAGAATAGAACTGTTATGACCTTTCAGCTTTTGGCATGTGGTTGACTTCTTTTTGTTTGCTCTCATTTATTTATTTTTACTGGGCCCTAATTTGATACTAAGAAACAAGTAAGAAATACTGACTTTTAAATCTTTCTTGTTAAAAAAAAAAATTGAACCAAGAGGTTGGTTAAATATATCATTATATTCTTGAGCATACTATGTAAACATTAAAGAATCCTGATTTAAAAGAGTAGTTAATGGTATCATATATATGATATGATTTCCACATTGGTTGAATACAACCAGCATGTTAACAACGGCTGTCTCTGATGGAATTATGGTTTATTTTAATTTTCCTCCTTTTTGATTTTTTTGTGATTCTCTGTGATGTGCATACTACCTTTTTTAATAAAGCAAAAACAACACAAAAATGACCAAGATTATTACCTTTAATAATTCGAGTACATGAGGGAAATTGTAGAATTAAGTAACTTGTATAATAATTTGCATTTGGGGAACTTGTTTAGAAAATGCAACTTAGCCAGAAGGAGGAGCAATTGAGCAATAGTTAGAAGTCAAATCAATCAAAACAAACAAAAAAAAGCAAAGAGTGATACTGAATAGGACAGAAAGCAGTGCAGGACCAGCTGAAGGGCGTTAACAAGACAAGAGGCTTGTTAGAGAAGATGGAGAAGTGGTTTCTTTCAGATGATTCATGAATCAGAGCATAATTACATTTCCTAACCTCCAATGACGGTACCAGTATGCCATGTCTCCCACTTACTGAGTCTTTCGAATATGTTTCTTGCTTTAAATTGTTTAAATGCGGAAGTGACCGGTCTTTTAAATTTCATAGATCTGAAAGTTTTTTAAAAAGGTAGGTTATCTACATAGTGTTGCCATTTTTTTTTGCAGTCATTATATTATACATATCTACCATCAACATTATTTAACAAAAAGGAGAGTATAAAAAGTAAAGGAGGATGGAAGGGAAGGACAACAAATTATAAAGTAAAAATGGGAAGAGTTTAGCTTTTCTTGCTTTCATTTCGCTGTGGTCTAGTGAAAGCTTTGTTATAGACTAAAATGGATCTAAGGACCAACAGTTAAGAAATACTGGTTTAAGAAATAACTTGATGCAGCAGTTCTCACCTGTAGAAGTTAGAAGACACTACAAATTCCAAGCCCTACTCGGAAACAATGCCTTAAGTGATAGAACTCAGGATGTACATATATGTGTGTACATATGAATGTATGTATTTATTCTTTTATGTATTATATATAAATGTATTTTTGAAGCTCCATAGATGTTTATATTATATATAAATGTATTTTTGAAGCTCCATAGATGTTCTAATACAATGCCCTAATAGATGTTTTAGTATAGTACCCTAATAAGAACCACTGTTGATGTTTTCCCAAAACTACTGATGAAAAAGTTAGGAACAAACGTGGTTTTTGTCCTGTCTAACTCTAATGTACTGCATTCTAATATAATTACATTTACATTATGGCTATAATTGCTAATATACCATTTTATCTAACCAGGGAGCTAAGCAGTCTTTCAACAAAGAGTGCATGTAAAAGCTGGTTTTAAAAAGAAAGAGATAGATTATTTTAAAACTAGCTATAGGATTTTGACCAAGGAAGATTTTGGTAGAAATATATTAGATTAATCTATACCACAGGAGAAATTAATTTCATATAAATGTCCACCAGCTGTAAGAAAATGAGGAGGAGAGGCCTTAAGTAAGGCCTTACTCCTTAAGTAATTCAAAAGACTTAAGTTATTTAAGAAATGCTAACTCTTAAGCCACAAACATTGTTTAAGAAGAACTTCAACAAATTTGTCATTCCTGTTTTTTTTAGTTGTTAAGATTTTTTTTTTTTGAGTTGGAGTCTCACTCTGTCTCCCAGACTGGAGTACAGTGGCCACTTCCGGCCACCGCAGCCTCGACCTGCTGGGCTCCGGTGATCCTTCCGCTTCAGCCTTCCGAGTAGCCGGGATTACAGGTGCGCGCTACCACGCCTGGCTGATTTTTTGATTTATTGTAGCGATGAGGTCTCGCTGCCCAGGCGGGTCTCGAACCCCTGGACTCAGACAATCCACTCACCTCAGCCTCCCAAAGGCACGGGATTACAGGCTGTGTCACTGAGCCCGGCATGAGATTTTTATTTGAGATTCCCTGCTACCGTATTCTGAATGGTAAAATCCAGTTATTCTCTTAACTACTGACTTCCTTAATTGTTTATTAAATATCTAATTAGGAGGTTTTGTACATTTTAAAGATGAATAGACAGTCATTTGAAAACACTTCTGTCTAATCATGTTTAATCTAATTCATATCTATGGAAAGAAAATTGGTTAGAGAACTGTGGTGATAAGTAAGTTATAAGTAGTTATGATAATTAAGGTACAAGAGCCTCTTGATGGTCTTAGTACTAGTATAGGTTTTCCTGGAGATGAAAGCAATCACACTGTTCTATGGCTAATCCAGTCCTTTTGGCCATGTGACAGTTGTTTTAGATTACCACTCAGTTTGGTTGATGATTATGCCAAAACGATTGACTGCATCATGCAGGAGGAAGGATACATAAATACAAGCAGAAAAATTCATGGAGTATATGAGCTAGATTCTGTGATAAATGTGTCTGGTTCTTTTTTTAATCTTCTGATTGTAATGAGTGTGGAAATAATTAAAACAATCTCTTGAGCACCTCCCACCCTCTACCCATAAACATACAAATTCATTCTACTGAGCAAAAATCTGCTCAGTTACTATAAGCTTTGCTTTTCTGATTCAGACTTATGGCCAGATTGGTAGCCTCTGTTTTCTTCCTACATAGTGTACGTGGACTGCTTGAAGAAGAGATCTGACATAGACAAGAGCTAGACTGAATAAGTTATAGTCAACAAGTTTTGTTCTCTGCTACTACTAAACATCATATATGGCACAACTGAAAGAAATAGACTTACCAGTGCCCAAATAAGTTTTGCTACTATATACTACAGTCCTCTAAGTTCGAAGAAATTATTTCTTTCTCTTTTTACTGTTGAATATTTCTATTAATACAAGGCTGTTTAACAGATGGCTTATCTTGCCTTTTGATGTGGAATATAAGTATTAAAGATGAAACTGTACTGAGTTGTTAAGTTGAACTCTCTCCCATTGTCTTTGGGATGCCTCTAACTTTGTTCACCTGGTGAGTCATGTAGCTGACTGACTTGAATATGATAGCTATGAATTCTGATTAGTGTATTTGTTTCTGTGCACATATAATGAAACCCTACTCCCTGCTTACTTGTAGGTCAATTTTTCTGACCACCTGTTTTCTTTGTGCATGTAAGCTATTTTGTGCCGGAGACCAGCTCCAGCCGGGTTCAGGGTACCCCAAAGGTGGAGACAGCGTCAGCGATTGGGGGGGAAGACAAAAGAGAGAAAGAGAGAGAGAAAGAGAAAGAAAGAGACTGGACTCCAGTCTAGTGCAGAAGCTGTTTAATGGGAATTACAACTGGTCTTTTATACACAGTCGGGTGTGTGAGGGGCGTTCCCCACCCACCAGATGTTCTTTCAGGTATAATTCCATAACCTAATCGATGAAACCTTAATCCATTTATTCAACTTCAATAAATCCTAAGATCATGACCCAGAAGCCTGTGACCAATACTAAGGCTCTTAGATGTGACCCGAGTTTGAATTATAAGTTGTGTGAAAGCCAAAAGTGCAGTTTGTGGAAGAATGGGAGCAATGAACTTCTAAAGTTAGCTTGTGTTCGTCCCGGTCTCAGAGTTTTTATGTCTTGAGTTCACAGGAGCTTAATCTGGTTAGTGCTGAGTAGAAAGGGGGAGGAAATGGGGTCAATAGCTCCCGAACACATCCTAGTGGTCTCGGGGTCAACGGTCCTTCCTGATCCCTAACGCTCAGTGGGCCTCCGTGGCCAGCTCCCAACAATTTTGTGGATTGATTCTCCTGACTAGTATTTATATAAATATAAAGTACTTAATGCAGTGTCAGGCACTTTGTTGTCATCCAGTAAATGACAGCTCTTACTTCATTTTACATAATAATGAGTGTATATATTCAGTATGGATGTACAGCATTGCTTTCCTTTTTTTTCTCACCTGCTTGCTATCGCCATGCCAACAATTCTAGAACCTATCTGATATTAGGTTATTCCTTGCTGGAAGAACCTGTGGCTGATTTTTTTTCATTGCTTATTATTTTATTTGGAAACTTTTTTTTTTTTTAACCAATGTCTAAATCTTGTCCATTCTTTACAACCCAATTAAAAAATCTTTCCAGGCAACCCCTTGGGTCCCCCTCCCAGTGCAGGAGCTTTTCTGTCCTCAATAAATTCTGCTTTAAAAAAAAAAATCTTTTCTCCACACATCTGAGCATGATTTTTGTGCATGGTCTTCGTTTGAGGAAAGTGTCAGGAGATTTAGCCTTTATTAAGCTCTTAGTTTCAAAGAGCAGAATAACAGAAAAATGCTCATGATTGTTAAGGAAATTCTCCCATTTTCTTGTTTCTCCCTTCCTTTTTTTGTACTCCCCTGGACTTCTTCTTCCCACTCCTCTTCCCACTTTTTTAAAAAGCAGGGCAGAAAAGAGAGAAGTTTTGAAATTGGTTAGTTTCATTTAATATTCTGTGTCTTTTACCCAGATGGCTATGAAGTAGAACTGGACCAAATTTTAAATATTTCTCAAA